TCAGCTGGAAAATTGATATGGGTAAGTGGAGATTGGAATTTGGCCGATGCTCTGACGAAAAAGCATCGATCCTCTCGAGAAGGCCTCCAGCAGTTCATCAAGAGCCAGATTTGGAAGCTTCGCTATGACCCTGGCTTCGTATGCTCCGAGAAGAAAGCCCGCCGCCAAGGATTGGAAGCAGTTCGCCAAATGAAGCAGCTGCAGAGCCTGATCCCTTTTGCCGGTCCTGACTCGAGAAAACTTTGGAACTGGTGCGATGAAACCGGTGCGATCGAGTCATGACGGCATGTGGCATGAGAACCACTTGTTCCCGAAGGCCTTGAGCCTACGGCTCGCCCAAGCGAAAAGGTCCGCTGCCGCACCAGCGCGGCACTTGTGTTTTGTCCGGCTTGCCCATAAGCTGGGCATCTTGTGTTTTCGTTCGAAGCCATCTACATCCTAGTGTTTGTGATTGGCATCACCCACTACCCATAGGGGGTTGGCACTCTAGCTACCGCATGTCCCTGATCTGCATTGGACACCCACGACTCGTAGGTCCAGGTAGGTGCTGAACACTCTCGGTTTGCGTGGACTGCCAGGTTTGGGTGGACTGGAGTCGTTGACACGGCAGTCAAGCTCCGAGCCGCTCAACATCGAGTTGCGGACGTCCTTTGGTCTTCCAGAGGTTTCCATAAGACCACTGGTTCACAGCATCGGCGGCCTCCCAGAATGTATGGTGGGTGACCACCATGTCATTCCTGTAGATTCTTTGCAGTTTGTAGTTCCCCGGTGAAAACCCTGGATTAAACCGATGCTCCCGAACCACTCCACCCCACCGCGGCCTCCGCTCTTCCCCACCCTTCAGGCGGCCTCCGCTCCCTCAGACGCCGCAAAGAAAAGGGGCCGCGGCAGGGGCGTCGTCGTGTGACGGTCGCCTGGGCACGACCGTAGAGAGGGACCGACCACGACCGACGAAAGGGATCGGAGCGACCTATACGTGGTTTCAGAGGTTCACTGGCACCCCCAAGATGTCTTGAAAGAATCCATATAAACCACCGACCTTGGGGATTGTGCCATCTTTCAATGGACTGTATGCGAGTTTGACCTACGAATCAGAACGGGTTGCAGAGAACATGCCAATGAGTTCCCATGGTGTTACGGGCTTGACCCCGAAAATCTGCTGAGATCCTTGGCTGCAATGAAGTACAAGATCCTGCTGAGGGTTGGTCGCCGCCCGGCCATGAAAAGCCTTCAACCACTCACACCCAGACCTTTTCCACCTATACACGGAGCATCTTCAACACTCAGCCAGGAGTTGATGAACGTGACCTGACCCATTGAAGATGTTATTCAGTGTGCCATGATGTGGTTATGTGGTGGATTAGTCAATGAAGCCGAGGACTCTGTGTGTGATTGGAGATGTTTAGAGCACAAATCGACGTCTCAGGGGCTATGCCATCACTACGTGCGGGTGGAGGCCGTCGCGCCAAGCGGCGTCACGACCCCGCCGATCTCCGCCGACTCCGCCGGGCTCAAGCGCAGAGTTGGGCACCGCGAAGCACCCGCCGCGCAACCGGATTCCTCGTGTTCGGCCACGGATGGCGCCCAAGAGGAAGGCGTTTGGGGGCCCAGGTCGGGCGTTGGAAGAATCCCCTGAACTCACCTTTGCCCAGACTGAGTCATGAAGGAGGTTTTTCCCTCACTTGAGGAGAGATGTGAGGGAAAAATATAGAACAATTGCTCTGACTATTTGCCACCCAGAATCCAAGTACCAATGATGCTGCTCCCGCAGGTGTTGTGGGAAGACGAATTTCCCTCAGGTGGAAGCGACGTGAGTTTCGGGGGAGTGCATTTGGGTGCAAAGGAGCCAATAATGAAGCTCCAACAGGAATGGACTGATGTATTTGGATGTTTGTATGTCGGAGTTTGGTAGTGGCCAACATGAACACTGAACATTTTTATGTCAAGAGCCCCAATTCTATTTGGTTTTTTAACGGAGACCTGTGCCCGTGCTTTCTTGTGAGACCTGGCTTCAGCGGGTGCTGAACGCTCACACGAGACCTTGTGACGCCGGGCTTGCGGCTTGCCTGCGGCTTGCGGCTTGCTGAGGCCCGAAGAGCAAAAGATCGCACGGGGGCTGAGATTGAACCGGATGAACACCTTGGGCGAAACCGTTGGGAAACCGTGGTCAGCCGTCGTACTCTTGCTCCTTTGTCTATACCCTTGCTTGCCGAAAAGGCGCCGTGAAGTCTGCGCCTTGCCTCGGCCGTGGCCGGCCTTGAGGCCACCGTCTTGAAGAAACTGCACGTGACGCAACAAAGCCGCTGGTCGACGCGTCTTTTTTGGGAGGAGGGATGGGATCTACCAGGGCCCCGAAAAGGTGGTTGATATGCCTAGGGCTCCAACCATATCCTCAGAAGGTGGTTAGACCCCCAAAACCCACCCCAACCATCTTCTCAGGAGGTAGTTGGAGCCCTAGGATGGTGTTTTAGACGCATCCCTGGCAGCCATGCAGTCTTAACAGGGAAGACTCTGAGACGATTCACTCGCAACTTTTCAACCATTGGTCTGGGGATGTCTGGGGGTACCCTCATAAGTTAATACTGTATCTCATAATAATAGATGCCCACTGGGGCTAGGGGACCCTGGTTTGGTTTTCCTTGATGGTTAACTAAAGAATTCAGTTGGACAAAGAGGCTTTTCAGGATATGGCCGGTCGAGTTCGTGTTTGGAGCTTCGCGGGAATCGGAAAAACAGCTAGCCACCTGTGGAGAAATCTTCAGTCGAGTTGCGTGGCCTGTTCCGCATCCGACAGGTTTGGACCATACTTGTTGTAGAGTTGCCCGAAGATATGGATAGACACCCGCAGCAATGGCATAGTCAACATGGTTCAAACTGTTTTGGGTCTGCATGTGTTTGCAGGTAGATGGCGAATCAGCCGTTCACGCAACACCTGGAAAAGCCATACCCAGGTATGTTCCAACCAGGTGCTACTATGTGCTACTTAGAAACTAGTGAGAGTGGAACGTGCAGGATGGAACGTGTATATAAAGGGGTCATGAAATCCTCCAGTGGAGCCTTGACGGCCCAATGGATCCGATCCGCCAGGTGGGGGGTACGGGCTGACGATGAGCTGACGTCGTTTCATGGCAGACCGGCATGCTACTGGATGAGGCTAGCGTGTGCACAGGAACATCGGACCAAGCCACGAACTCGTGCACCCAGAATTGGAGACAGATCGATTGGTGCAAGTAGATGCCACACATCCATTCTCCTAGAACCTGAGTGATTCTTGAGGTTGATTTCTCTATCCAAAGCAGGGATCAATCAAATCTGTTCTAGGCCAGGGCCACCTGAGTGGCCATTTGTTGCACAACTGAGGCTTCAAGCTCTTGTCGGAGGCCTTGCATCATCCCCTCAGCGACCTCCCCGAGGAAGTCCGTGGGAGAAGTCCGTGGGTGTTCTCACCGGCCGGACTGGTAAACCCATCCCGAAGCCTGGTCCTGAAAGAGAAGTTCTAAACATATCAGACATATCACATCATAGTCCTTGTTACTAGTAGCTTCTTGTTCCTAGTAGCGATGGCCTCACCTAGTAGCGATGGCCTCCACCGAGTAGCGTCCTTGTTCCCGGTCATATCACCATTTCGTTTGTCATACTTATACTGGCATGGCTTAATTGAACCAATTGGGGTACCATTATGGTACCATCCAACCCCGACGGAGGAGGGGTCACAAGAGGTCAACACCTGCGGGTTCACGGGTTTTTGTTTTTTGACGTCCATATTGATTTGGGGCACTATCAAGGCGTGTCACAAATACTATACATCACATACATGTGGATAGATAGATGATAGATAGATAGATAGATAGATAGATAGGTAGATAAATATGCATGAATTTAACCGTGCACACGCACCGCAGTCCCACGTGTCTTCTTCAGGACTGTCGTCAGATGCTGCTGGCTGGGCTACCCTTCAGCGTTTGTGTGTTTCAAGATGAGCGCCGGGTGCCTCTGGACGAGCGCCGTTTGGTCGACCCGGATGGGCGGCGGGCGGCGGTGGGAAGCCGCTTCGCCGCAGAAACGCCGCACCGTGAGGAACGGCGTGTGTGAAACCACGCCGATAAGGCGTGTAGGAACTGAGCTCAGCCTGCAGCCCGCAGGTGAAATGCTTCTCTCGCCGTTCGTCTGAATTTCATCGATTCCATGGACCCTGGTGTCGACGATTCCATGGACCCTGAGTACACCACGTCGCTTGGTAAGAGGAAAACCATCAGACCCAGGATACCAGGCAGGACCCGGGTCTATGTGAGTTCACTCGGGAGTGTAATCGGTCAATTCTACTTGATCAGATTGATCAGTGAAGCTTTATGATCCCTGCGATCCCGAAGCTCGGACTCGGGATGGGCATCGGACATCCCATGGCGGCCCATCGGACATCTCATTGAAGCGACTGTTCGTAGAAGAGTTGGAGCTATCTAGTAAACAATCATATCCCTGGCCCTCTCCTTACAGTTTGTGGTCCTTGTCGAGGGATTTCTTCCAAGCAAACAGTAGCCGTTCCGCGTGATTAGGTCTTTCATTTGGCCTGTTGGGGGAGAGAACCAAAAACAATCCCTGGTTTCAAGCTCCAAAGCCACCCCTGCACGGCATCTTGACAGGGTCTGCCGGGTCTGCAAGCGTTGTGCCTAGCTTGGGTCACCGGCATACCCCATTTGAAGTCGATCAATGTTACCTTGCCACCTTTCGTGTAGAAAACCAGCTCCTTGGCTGGTCTGAACTGGACTGGGTGTTCATGAGCTTCTGAAGCAAGACACAGAGATCCTGAGAGTCCAAACGATTCCTTTTTTCTGGTGGACTATGATACCCTGGAGTAAAATGAGTCATCGGAAGTTCTGGGAGAACAAGCATCAAAAGTTTATCAACAGTGAGAAGTCAAAACGCCGCGCCTCCGTCCTCCGTGGTCAGTCACAGCCCGTAGAAGACGACCGTACAGCCAGTGTTTTGCCGAACTCGTTGCCATGACGGTGCAGATGCAAGTGCTCGACTCTAGTGAGCTGGCAGGCGAGGCAGACTCTGGCGTTTGGATTCCCAGGTTCTTGTGGTCCGTTTTTTCAGGTAGCACCCTGCACTGCACACTGTTTGTTAGATGAGTGGGCCTGGCTTGGACCATTGTTTGCTCACATGTCACCCATCAAGATCCGTCCCCACTCCCACACACACACGTACACGTACAGACGACCACACTTGCGCGCCTGTTAGGACTGGGATCTGGTGGATGTACCTGGGAACGCTCGGGCTTCACGGCTGGTAGGCCCCCGCAAAAAACCAGGCAGTGGCTGTGTTTCGACCACCTTTGGTCTGCAACGGGCGGAACGGCAACCTGTTGACCAATGGTTCTATACAATGAAAGAACCCTCGAACTGCTGCACGGAGTTTTAGGCTGTGGAAATTGCGAGTGAAATTGCGTTCTTTTTGGAACCTGGTTCCCTACATGTAACACCAATACTGTAGGTATATGGTATTTGGCATCGGCCCGTCCATTGCTGCCCAAACATGGGGAACCAGGTGAACCGCACATGGTCACATCCCGATTTCTCAGAGGCAAAGTCTGGTACAGCATCAGAGTGGTCGATGGGCAACAGGCCGGGATCTCTGCATGTGCAGAAGAGAGTCTGAGGGTCTTGCCTTCACCGAATCGAAACCTCTTGCTCTGGCATGTTTCCTCTTTTTTCTTATGGGGGCGAGTGCAAAACCAAGGCTACATTCAACCCTTAGTTGAAAGTTGCATGGTCTCCCCCTCTGGGTGGCCTGGAAGTGTAATAGCCTGCCCGTAATGCTCTACGCGGATGGTGGATTTCATGGAGCAACCCTTTGATATGAGGTTGGGTCTCAAATCATGCATGTTCTCTTTTTTGATATAAAACTGTGTCGAGCTTTGGGCAGGTTTGGGTGCACAGTCTTCATTACATTTGGTACACTGTCCATTTTGGCTCAAGCCAAAAGTGGGACAGTGGAGTTTCTGTTCTGCTAATTTTTGCTGTGTGTGCTGTGGATGACTTCACAGCCTATCGTCGGTGTGCATGTCGCCATGTTCACGGCTGCTGAGGTGCTTTCGTCCGCCGCGTTCATCGAGTTCCGTCGCCAGGTCGATGCCCTTTTGGCCCGGGGGGACCGGGCAGGCGCGATGCGGCACTGGAGCTCGGTGGCTCTATTCGAACACATGCCTCCGTCTTCACGCCCGGGGGACGGGCCAGCTGGTTTCCCCCCTATGCGGATCTCAGTTTGTCCTAAGAGTGCCTGCCTGCGGTGCGATCAGGGGCGAGGGGGCTATGTTTTCCCGTGGGTCGGGATTTGGAACCGGCGCGGGACGATCGTGCCACCAGGGTTCACTCCTCAGCAGGCCTGGGATAGGCATGCTCGGTTGGACGCCAACATGGACCTCCTTTTGTTGCAGCCCTACCGTACCCCGTACTCTGCGGAGAATTTTGTGCCCTCCTACCTGTGGGAGTTCCAGCAGAAGGTTCCTGGGGACTTCGACCTCTTGCCCCTGCAAACCTTTCAATCTGAAGTCCTCTATTACATGCGGCACTGGATCATGGGATCACCACATGGGTTGTGGTCCAACCCCTTTCGTGCCCCACTGCCAGATATTGAGCCTTTGCCGCGCCACCTGGAAGCTCTTCACCCGAAGATTCGTGCCCATCGAGCCCTTCGTGGATGGTTGGGGTCCTCAATCAACGGAGAGTCGGAGTTTCCTCCAGCGTGTTGCGGCTGTGGTGATCCCACTTATCGGCAGTGCCTTGGTTGTATCAAAGGAGTGTGTTCCGCCTGTTTCCCAGTGCTCCAAATCTGTCCGGTTTGCCGCGAACTTTCGTCGTCTGATGACGATAGTGGGTAGTTCAGCGGGTGCGCAAGCCATGGTGTACCGTGCGCAAGTTGCTGGAGCGGTGGACGCTCCGCCGGACGAACCGGCTTCGTCCTCTGGCTGGCGGGCCGAAGACAGCCTTGCTCGGGTGGCAGGGGCCCGTGCCATCACATGGCGCCGTGAACGGGGCTATGAGAAAGATGAGGATTTCGCCTTTGCCTTCTCTACTTGGGAGGAAGCTGTGGCCGTGGGAGGCCATTTCTTGGCGGATGCTTGGCTGGCAGTCCGGGTTGCCCAGCAGGATGAACTTCTTCCAGCAACAGCTCGTTTGCTTGAGGGGGGACCTCTGCTGCCGGATACACGTCCTCCACTGGCTCGCAAGCGGAAGGAAGTTCCACTTGAGGCGGGGGTACGCCTTCATGAACGGGTGCAGGATCAACCCGAGTCCATACAGCGCCAAGTGTTGGCCCTGCAGAAGGTGTTCCTGACCGTCGGGGCATTGAAGCCGGTTGGCCTGTTGACTGAGGCCCTGAAGCGGGATTGGCAGGCATCCGTCCTTCGCTTGGCCCAGACCAAAGTGGCGGAGTCTGAGTCGGTGACGATTCAGAATGCTCTTCGCACCTATGGGGAGCTCCACGCCTTTTTGCTCCACCGCGGGAGGTCGTTCCCTCCGGATTTCGTGGACATGGACAACTTCCTGCATCAGGGGACGATGGCTCCCACCCGCGCGCTCAATGCGCTTCGTTGGTTGTGCAAGCATTCTGGAGCTCCTTGGGAAGTGGCTCGGCTTCGTATCTCTCCTGAGCTGAAGAAGAAGGCCACTTCTACGAAGAGCCAAGCCCTTGTTGTGGAGCCCGGCATGCTGCAGCTGTTGGAGGAGCGCATTGAGAGCATGTGCCGTGGGGGGGACCCACGTTGGACATGTCTCCTCGGCTCTTGGCTGGTGGCTACTGGTTGCTTGCGATACCAGCATCTTCGCCGATCAGCCGTTCGTCGCATCAGCCCACTAGTGTTTCATGGCCACTGTCGCAAAGGCAAGCAGCGTCATGCTCGTGGCGGCTTTGATTGGTGTGCTCCAGCCGAGTTTGCATCAACCTTCAACTGGACTGTGGAGTGGCTCAAAGCCTGGAAGGCTCTCTCTCCGGTGGCCCAGAAGAGTGCAGGGATCTGCTTCGACGGGCGTGGGACGCCTTGGAACATCGCTGAGGTTCAGCACGTCTATCTTTGCCGAGTTTCTGGACAATACAGAGCAGTTGACCACCTACTCTTGGCGACGAATGCTTCCCACAGTGGGCCATATTTTGAACTTGTCGTCGTCTGACCTTTGCTCCCTCGGTGATTGGCAGGACAAATCAAAAGAGCCGGCTGAAGCAGGGATGGCATTGCACTATTCGCCAGCTCGGTATGCCCAGTCGCTTCGTAACAAGATCTTGACCACTTCAGTGGCCCACAGCTGTGAGGGTCACAGCTTTTGGGAGGAGGTGCTTCCTGCCGATTTGGATGGTTTCCGCGAAGTGGCCAAAGACGCGCTTGCAATGGCCATCGCGAAGGACAAGGAGACGCGGTACGCCGCTCAGCCAACCAAGGAGTCGCTGAAGACGCACCTCCAATTCTCCCGGGCCCGAGTCGCTAAGGCAGCGGCAAACAAAATTCGAGGAAGCACCTCGCGCCAGACGGTATCCATGCCGAATGCCATCCGAGGCCGCGTGTTGACGGCTTTCTTGAAGAATGGGCGTCGCCTTTGCGGGGCTTTCCAGACGCCCGAGGGGTGCACGGAGGGAGAGGAGGTTTGCGGGAACGCTCACATCTGCGCTGTCCTTTTGGCCCGGGGGGGGGGCTTGTGGCGGGAGCCACGGTGCGTTTATTTGCACCGAAAAGAAGTACTTGCCCGGCCGAGACGCCAGTTCCAGTTCGGGCGGCGGCGACATCGGCTCCTTCTACTACGTCCTCAAAGGCCAAACCCTCCTCGAGAGCCAAACGCCGGCGAGCGGAATCGCCCCAGCCGAGTGCTCGGCCTGATGCAGCAGAGGCCCTCTCTCCAAGGCCCAAGACGCCTCCGAAGGCACCTCCACACAAGGCGGTTCCGCCTAAGCTGATTGCAACGTCGGCCAAGAAGAAGCCGCGAGGTCCGAGGGATCCCTCACCTCCACCGCTGGCCAGGACGCCTTCTTGGAGACAGTCTTCAGAACCAGCACCGAGCACCCTGCCCATTCCAGCCGTGTCGCCAGGACCTCAGCAATCTCACTGGGACCGGTTGGCCACTTCGGAAGGGCGTGACACTCTCGCCCCAACCTTGATCATGACGACTCGGTCAGGTGGCCAGCTGTGGCTCTCCGGCATTCCTATTGCTGAGACGGTGCAACACTTCCCGAAGGCTCACCTCCAGATCGCTTGCCTACCACAATACCCCGAGGGCCGGGGGGG